TTAATAGAGCAAAACCGATAAATTTTGGGAGCTATTTACGAGTTAATCATTAATATAAAGTATATCTCGGATATAGCAGATTTCGCGATGTAACTCATCCATCTATGCAGCTCCAAAAGTACTGCACTTTAAAGTTAAATTTTCTGACATTCGTGAATAGAATGAAGCCTTCTACATAGCCGAAGACAGCGCTATCCCTATATATTTGTTTCTACGCTAAGTCAGTATGCGAATTATCTTTAAAGTTTGCAGAATAATTTCTACCTTACCCAAATACATACCATCTTGATACGAGTACCAATAAAGTGTAAACACAAGAGTGACACCCTTAGTTTTATTGAAATCATAAACTTAAATAGAAAGAAACAATTTCTCGTTGCACAATAGCATGAGCAGTAACTGCGGCCAAAGGATTGGCTTTCTTCAAACGTGAAAAGTTAGAAGCATAAATTTCCAACTAGTTAAAAAAATAAATGAGCCTGCGTACTATTCGCATTAAACATATAACGGTTATTCTAGCATATAATAGTATATGAATGAACGATGAATGCTTAAGCCATCCATGGCACTTTATGAAAGTAGAAACTATTTGTCAAAAACAAAATAAAATAGAAATACTACATGCACAGCATGGAAAACTGTAGGTTTGCGTTTAAATGACGCTGAAGGTGGTCGTTTGAAATAGTCCTGGTATGAAAGTGATCTAACTCAGAGGCTCTTAAGCAATACTACAAATACGAGTATTAACAGTTTTATGTTCTCAAGTTCAATGGCATGGAGGCGCTTTTATTACCTGGGCAGTTGCAATTTTGTGCGTTGTAATACTCTTTTTGGTGTTCCCTTCTTGCTTTTTGCCTTGCTTGTCTGATAGCCGAAGCTGGTGGTGGATGGATGGATGTGTCGTTAAAACTGAATGTGTAATTAATGTTATGACGCGGGTGTGGTTGGTGCTTTGGCAAAAGTGAAGTTGTAAAATGTTGTACTTGTTTTGCTCTCTGCTTTGAGGCAAACGGATTTTACGCGACTCGAAATTTTGTTCTGTGCGAAAAAGTTTTTAGAAATGATTTATTGAAAAGGGTTGAGCTTTCATGCGAAATAACACCGGAAATCAGTGAAATAGTACGTATGTATTAGCTTTGAGTCAGAAGTTTAATTTATTGAAGTTTTTTTAAAAAAAGTTTACTACGACTTATACAAAAGACTTTTATATGTATGATTTAAAAAATAAAAGTCAGTGACTGATTTATATTGACGACTTTTAAAAGTAAAAGTCACTGACTGATTTTTATTGATGACTTTTATAAATAAGTCTTCAATAACTGTTATCTAAAACATTTAATTTAGAAATAGAATAGAAAAATAACTGTTATTTGCATATTATTTAGATAAAAATCAAAACTAATTGTTATTTTGGATTTATAAAATAAAAATCAGAAATAACTGTTATTTAAGGAGTAATTAGTTAAAAGTAAAAAATAACTGTTACTTGAAGGGCGATTTTTTTAATAAAACTTGTAACTCTTACGTTCCCTGGATTGGAGGCGTGACCAAGGTGGCTGCCGGTAATACGAGAGCAGAATACTTTTAAATTACCCATATGTCGAAACTGCACGTGCTCATTTCCAATTTACCGAAATTTATCTATTAAATTTATCGATAGTTATAGAAATTTGTTTAAAAGTCTATCAATATTTATCACAAAAAATATAAATTTTTCGAAAACGGTCTGTAAATTTATCGGTTTTTATCGAACACTATCGATAAATTTATAAATAACAGCGTTAAATTGCGCCACCGAAAGCAATGATGTTTCAAAAAAAAAAAATTAAGATTGTTTGTTTGTATGCATCGAAGAGGTCAGCAACCTGGCTGCATTGCAATTGCAATGGCATATTCACATTTCCAATTCTACTTGCACATTTTCCACATTGCCGTTGCACATTGATCGCCACACAGCGAGCGGCAGTACAATGCCTGATTTAGCCTTGAATTATTCAAATACGCAACTGTGATCTGCATCGTAATTAGGTGCTTGCATACAAATATAACTACGCATGTATTTATGTACATGCAGTCCGTAATGTACATGCGTTACACACGCACCCATGCACAAACAAAAAACGACGCAAGAAATCAAAGAATGGAAAGGTGAAAAGATAAATTGTTAGATAGAATAAGCAACTGGGCACAAAACTTGATGGCACGATTGAATGAATGCTATGAGTGCGACACGCAGGAGTGGTCGAAGCAGGAAGGTGCGTAGTCGAAAGAGGAAGAAGAATAAGCAGCAATGCAACCATAGTTGCCAACTTGGTGCTTTAAGCACTAGATTTAGTGCTTTTTGAAAATTAAAACGCCAAAAAAAATATTTAGTACCTAGTGCCTTTTTAGTGCTTTTTTTTCTTAACTAAAATTACTCCAATATAGTTAAAACCTGAAATAATTTTTAAATATTTAAAGGTGCCACAGCTTTACAAAATTTTGAATTTACAAAAATCTACAAATTTAAATGCACTTAAATACAACCATGATTGATAAAAAGCTGAACTTGCAAACGAACCTTGTTCAATTCTATTCGCGTTGAAAATGCTAGTAGATATGCGAGTAAGTTAAGTATTTATTTTTTTTCTTTTCTAATTACTTGTAAAAATTTTTATTTTTGTACCACCTGAGTAAAACACATCGTTTCTTGGTGCTGAATCCAAATCTGGCCGCACAATTGCTCTAGCACTAGAATTTTGAGATATCTTAACCTGAAAGTTCCAAAACCACGATTTTTGGCGATATTTGAGGTTATATAATGAAAACATAATTTTTTTTGGTCATTTCTACTTTGGGCATGATTTTCGTTTGTTGGGATTAGATTTTTCTTTCTTGAGATATATGATATATATCATATATCAGTTTTAATGTGCAGTACTTCGATATTACGTCGTAAGCATGAGTCATTATAGCATGTGGCTTTTTAATCGTTATGAGCAAAAAAGTTTTGTGTATTGATTTATGTATGCATTCTTGTAAATATTGTTATTTTTTTGTTTTTGTTAAATACGTACAAACTGTTATGAAAAAAGCATCCATTGATTCAAAACCATTTGGTGCTTTTAGTGTGGTAAAACGCTCTTTGTCCAAGTTTTTGGTGCTTTTTGAAAATCAAAAGTTGGCAACACTGATGGAGAGTGCACTCTCAGAGCGGCGCTCTGCATGCTTGGGGTGCGTATGTACACTTTAGATATATGTATATACATACTCAGATGTGAACAGTAAAATACGTGCCTAATAAATTTTTTATGAAAATATTGGCCCGTAGTCATAGTCAAAATAAAGTCGACTTTAAAGTTAGTTGCAGCTTTTTTGACAGATATCCCATTGAAAATTATGTCAAAAAGCTGCAACTAACTTTAAAGTCGACTTTATTTTGACTATGACTACGGGCCACTATTTTTAAATACGAACATTTTTAAACGATAATCAAATATAAAGTATTCATTTTTATGATGTATTTCATTCTTCATTTTTACTATGCATTATTTCCCTCAGTGTAGGCTTATTTAAGCTGTAAGAATTAAATAAATAAATGTAATACACTGGNATATAATGAAAACATAATTTTTTTTGGTCATTTCTACTTTGGGCATGATTTTCGTTTGTTGGGATTAGATTTTTCTTTCTTGAGATATATGATATATATCATATATCAGTTTTAATGTGCAGTACTTCGATATTACGTCGTAAGCATGAGTCATTATAGCATGTGGCTTTTTAATCGTTATGAGCAAAAAAGTTTTGTGTATTGATTTATGTATGCATTCTTGTAAATATTGTTATTTTTTTGTTTTTGTTAAATACGTACAAACTGTTATGAAAAAAGCATCCATTGATTCAAAACCATTTGGTGCTTTTAGTGTGGTAAAACGCTCTTTGTCCAAGTTTTTGGTGCTTTTTGAAAATCAAAAGTTGGCAACACTGATGGAGAGTGCACTCTCAGAGCGGCGCTCTGCATGCTTGGGGTGCGTATGTACACTTTAGATATATGTATATACATACTCAGATGTGAACAGTAAAATACGTGCCTAATAAATTTTTTATGAAAATATTGGCCCGTAGTCATAGTCAAAATAAAGTCGACTTTAAAGTTAGTTGCAGCTTTTTTGACAGATATCCCATTGAAAATTATGTCAAAAAGCTGCAACTAACTTTAAAGTCGACTTTATTTTGACTATGACTACGGGCCACTATTTTTAAATACGAACATTTTTAAACGATAATCAAATATAAAGTATTCATTTTTATGATGTATTTCATTCTTCATTTTTACTATGCATTATTTCCCTCAGTGTAGGCTTATTTAAGCTGTAAGAATTAAATAAATAAATGTAATACACTGGATTGATATGAAAAGTAACATATGTATGTATGTGGGCATATGAACAACGACCGCTTAAAATCGATCTCAAATTTGTACTTTCGCTGTAGAATGTTATCCAGTTTGTCTATTGTCAATGAAATCCAATGCTTTGTACTGCATGCACTCCACTTTTTTCGTTTTCAATGTCCTTAATTGTTTATAATGACTTTTGCTAAAATTTCAAAATCAAAAGTTATCAAAACAAATTCTTTGGGACTGAGAAATATTATTTTCTACTTTTTAGTCCATTTATAAAAGCGATGTATATTAAAAAGTTTTTTTATTTTATTTTATATATTAAGATAAGCACGTTGCAAGGAGAATAGGAGTATAGAAAAAATGTCGATGAAAAAAAATATTTGTTACCATTATTATCGTAAACTAAATGATAGAAAATTTGTATGTATATTTTCCTTCAACAGGGGGGAGGGCTGTAGTTTCAATTGCTGTTTGAGACTTCAGAATTACGCTACAAAGCTTTCTTGTCCAAAATACAAGGCAAAACCATAAGTTTTTATTCAAATATATAAGAAAAGTATTATATTTAATTATGCGCGTTTAAGGAAAAATTTAAAATTTTCTATACTTACAGGTGGCGTGATATTTACATAAAATCGAGCGTATTGCATTTGGATACACAAAAAGAACTATCCTTGGAACTGAACTGGGACAGAAATCGTGACCCTTCGCGACGACTTCTTCTAGCAGTTGATTACAAAAAAACTCTCAGTATGGATCAAAGTGGACAAGTTTTAGTTACATATCCTGATCGTACATTGAGCTTCAATTTTAATTCCCACAGTCGAGATTCAGAAAACTATGGCGATGTGTATGTCTCATGGGCAGTAAACGAATTTGTCAGTATAAAATATAATTTCATCCTAATGGGCGGAAATAATCTAAATACTAGGATTTATACTGAAATTCATACACCTTTTCAAGGTTGGCATAACAACCGGTTGGAGGCAGGTGCGTATTCCTTCGGCACCTTATTCGTAGCGAATGCATCTGTACTTTGGGGTGAAAATAAAAAAATAGAATTTATCTGTAAATCAGACATTAATATAGATGAATTTCCATTCAATTTATTTGTGCATTTCGGATTAAATAGTTCATTTGTTGAAATTCCATCAGTAAATATGGAAATGAATCATTGCCATGATCTTAATAAATTTGCCACTGATTTAAGTTTACTCTACGATAGTGTAAATGAGACTGCAAAGATATACAGTTGGAAATCAATTTGGGAAGTAAGTAAAAATCGGCAATATCAGAATATTAGTGGCACCATCTTGGTACTAAGTCCTCATAAAGAGTTTTGGAAAGGAAGCTTAGTGACAAAATTCTGCTTTAAGAATCAGAAACACGTACTCGGGGCTGCTTTACTAACATTTAATTTACGTGAAATCACTTTCGCTATGGATGGCTATATTAATAAATTTAACGATAACATGATAACGATTAATGTAACTACGCCCTTAAATAAGTTCCGCAAGATTGAGGGTCGCTTTGGCCTAATGGAAAAAGAACGACATGCTGTTGCTCAAATAAGGACTCCCATCACAGCTTTAGGCGTTGAAATATTGTTCGACATAAAGACTTTAACCGATTTCGATATTAAGTTTAGTGTGGCGACTCCTATAGAAAATCTAAAGCAAATGGCGTTATTCACAAAACTAAAAAGGGATACTGCGGACATGAGATGTATAATGAATAACATTACTGTTGGTTTTATTTTAACGTGGTTCACGAATGATTTGACTGACTTCGAATATTCCTGCAAAGTTTTTACTCCTCTTAAAGACGCAGAAGACAATGGTGTTGTTATAAAGTTTTTGAATAAAGATAAATTTGTGCTGAATTTACATTCTAAACTTTCACGTTATAGTTGCGGATTTCAGATAAGTGGAAAACCGAAATTACCGATTCTGAAACAACTTGGTGACAAAGTAATTGAGCTGGAATCGAAATATGATGACGATTTCAGACCACCAAAAATGGAGGACAGTGAGTACAACAACTTGGAAAATATGGACCATGAAAATTTTTTCTCTTACAATATTGAATTTCTGATGGACTTATTAGTCTGGCCTACTATTGAAGGGATGGTCGACATAGAAGAAGTATTCGACTACTATTTCACCACTGGTAACATCAAACTTCTAGAAGGTTATGTTGATATAAAAAACAACTTATACTTCCCAGACTATTTAAACGTAATAAATATCTTGAAAATAGAAACAACGTTTGAAACTTTAAGAGAAATTAAATTGATTTTGAGACATCATATGGACATAGATTTAGAAAACCTATATGAAAAGGTATATTGTACTGTTAGTAATCTTTCTAAAGGAGTAGGTTTCGAAGTCAGTTACAATAAAGTGATTAATTACGTAAAAGCGCCAGAACATCATTTAAAATTGAAATTGTCATTACCATCGGATGGAGAAATAGATATTAATGGAAAAATGCACTTAGATGACACTCTATTCCAGGGTTATATAGAAACAAATGCAGGGAAAAAGAACTTTTCTTTGGCAGCGGCTTTTGAGGTAAGTGAATACATACATACTTATATGTTATGTTTTACTTTGTTTTTATTTATACATGCATGTGTTACATTAGAGCATAGAATATAAGGAAAAATCCCAGGCCCTCAGGACCTGAAGCTAAAAAAAATTGTTTCAATTATGTGGTTGTATCTTTCAAAGTAATTGCCTTAGACAAAAATGCTACAAAGCGGTTTGGTGCGGAATGATGAATATTTTTTAGGTAACTCTTTTCACCAAAAAATTAAGCTTATTGCATTTTTTGCAATCAGAAAACTAATTTTAATGTAGTTTTTTTAAAATAATTTTTATAAACATTTCCAAAAAATTGAATTATATGCGCTTTATATAATTTAAAGTATAATTCAATGCAGTTGTTTTAACATGTTTCTCCTTTGAGAAACATTGAAATTTAGGGGTATACAAGGCGTATTAAATTCAAAACTTAAGAAAAATCTTCATAACGTCTACAAAAACTAATTTTCAGTAAAAGGAAAAAAAACAGAACTTATTTTTCTAGGATATATTACATTAGTTAACTGCAGTAAACCATTAGTCACACTGATACTGTGAAATGAAAAATGGTGGTTTAACATCAGCATAGTAGTTACTTAATGACTGCGAAAATGGCCCATAATCTTTATTAAGTTGAACGGCCAATGACTTTGTTGGGAAAGTTTGTATGTAAGTACTCAAGGAATTTTGCCTTAGAATGGTTTTTCAAGGGTAATACTATGTTCAGGTTGAACCATTAACTCGAGTTTATGGGCCATTTTGGAGTTTAACGCTCTTAAACTCGGAGTTTACTATACAAACAATCTTTGTTAAACTCTCCTTAAACACCAGTTTTATTTGGAGTTTATGGCAATGCAACCCTTCTCTTTGACAGAATTTGGTTTGTGGTTTTGATAGTCGAAACCTGCAACCCGCTTGCCGACAATTAGCCTGTTTTCGTATTGCAGGATTTAATCAGAAATGGTCCGAGGTCGTTCCGTGCACATAAGTCTAGAATATCAACAATCTAGCTATGGAAAAACCAAAAATGTTGCTCGATAGAACTTTTTGTGCTGATTGCAACCCCACCAAAATTATCAGGCGGCAGTAAAAATGAAGAAGATATCAATGGTTATAGTTAAATTTTTTAATTTTTTTTTAATATTAATATCTTGTGAACAACATAAGCTATTAAAAAACTAATGACGGCAGAGAGACTTGAAATTTTCAGCATAGTTCCAATCACGATAACAATGTAATTAAAAATATAAATTAATTCCCTATAAGTTCCAGGGGTCTTGATACAAAGGCGGTCAAAACATAGTACAATTTATGGCTAACAGACCGTAATTTGCCAAAGAACGTAAAACCAGAGCAAAGCTTTTTATGGTGAATTCTAGATGTCAACCTAGTCTAGATATGAACCTCGTTGTAGGCATCATATCAAGGAGATACAACTAGAAGACTCTAGATGTCGTTCCGCCAGAAGAAGTTAAATATTGCCCCTAAATATATGCACATAGTTGCCAACTTGGTGCTTTAAGCACTAGATTTAGTGCTTTTTGAAAATTAAAACGCCAAAAAAAAATATTTAGTGCCTAGTGCCTTTTTTAGTGCTTTTCTCCTGAACTAAAATTACTCCAATATAGTTAAAACCTGAAATAATTTTTAAATATTTAAAGGTGCCACAGCTTTACAAAATTTTGAATTAACAAAAATCTACAAATTTAAATGCACTTAAATACAACCATGATTGATAAAAAGCTGAACTTGCAAACGAACCTTGTTCAATTCTATTCGCGTTGAAAATGCTAGTAGATATGCGAGTAAGTTAAGTATTTATTTTTTTTCTTTTCTAATTACTTGTAAAAATTTTTATTTTTGTACCACCTGAGTAAAACACATCGTTTCTTGGTGCTGAATCCAAATCTGGCCGCACAATTGCTCTAGCAGTAGAATTTTGAGATATCTTAACCT